AAAATCATCAGTGAATGCAATGCAATATTTAAAACCATTTTTGGACACTGGGCTAATGGGACCTGCTAAGTCTGTATGTACCTTTTCTAGGGGTTTTGTAGCTCGACTATCTGGTGCTCTATTTCTACAATTTGCAAACTTCCCTTCTGTACATGTACTACATTCTAACTTGGACCTATCTACCTTCCCTACAACTTTCATTCCAGTGGCTACATTTTCTAGTTTCATTATATCATCGAAATTGCAATGCCCTAATATTTCATGCCACTTGTAAATATTGCATGCAAGACTTACCTTATCATATGAACTACTTATATTGCTATCATCATTTAGTTAATTAACAGTGTTCAAATAATACAAGCGTTCATGTTCCTCAATAATGAAAGTTGTACCATCTTTGTAGACAAGTTCATTTTTATCTTGTGAGAACTTTACTTTGGCTCCATTTGAAGTAGCTGCTCTAACAGAAAATATATCCTGTGGACACGTTGGTATGAACAGTGCGTCTTTCAGAACAGCTTTCACATATTTTCCATTTTCATCAGCTATTGATACTTCAGCATCTCCACGTTTCAGAGCCACATTATTTCTACGTGTCCCATCAGCAAGTTCCATGTAATGCTTTGCTGGGTTAAAGTTACCATCACACGTTTCAATACATCTTTCGTAACAATATGAGATGTAGCTCCAGTATCAACAAGCATCCCACTTGCTTTGTACTGTGATTGCTTAAGGTGACTCCCTTGCACATGAAAAGTGTATGAGTGTTCATCCCCTGGGTCACCGGACTGGCCACCAAATGTCGCTTGTTTTACTTTTGTAGCTTCTTGGTCTTTTCGTTGATGTCTTCGACAGGTACTATCACTATGCGTTGTTGACTTGTGGTATGAGCACCACTTGCTTGTTTCACTCTTAGTTTTGTCAGGACAATCCTTCATGATATGACCTTTGCGACCACAAGCATAACATGTGACATAACTGGATGCAGAAAACGATGGGGACTCAGGTTTCATTACTTGATCTGTTGATCAGTCTTTGGCTTACAATTAAACTTCTCTGTTTCTTCAAAGCTTTTTAGTTGAGATTTAAACATAGCAAATGTAATTTCACTTGTACTTTGAGTAATATGGACAACAAAGGGTTTGTATGAGTCAGGTAAACCTTTTAATATCATGGCAATAACAAGCCCGTCACTAAGTGTCTCTTTAGCGTTTTTCAGGGCCATAATCGATCTTTCTGCTCGTATTAGATAGTCTGTCACTGTCTCGCTTGTTCCTTTCTCGAGTGAAGTGAGATCAGTATAAAGTGCTATTATTCTAGGTTTACCTTGGCTTGCGTAGTGGTCGCGTAAAATCTTTAAGGCTTTCCTTCCATCGCCATCTCTCATCACTAACGATAGGCTAGTATCATCCAAAAGTTGTATTAACTCGGCGTAACTCTCTTCATTTTTCGCTTCGTCGCTTCTTCCTCAAGTGGTGCCGACGATAGAATTGTTTTCTTCAATTTTATGGTTTGCAAATAACCGAGTAATCTCGCTTCCCAAAGCTTGTATTTCGTTTCATCTCCGTCAAATAAAAGTCTTTGCAGTTTAGCATTGCTCCTGGGCCCATAACCTGTTGAACTCATTTGGTTTATTTCGGTATATTTTATTATATATTATAAGTTTTATAAAGGTTTTTACATAACATAATACGAGACACACATACGAGGCATGAGTGTTCTCCGATCCCATGATGCTCTTCTCATAGGATATGACGTAATATGAATAACATGAAAACATTGCGCAACATTTAGTTTTGCAAAGTTAAATTCTCAAACGTGTAAAGGCCCACACAGACCGGACGCGATTCGGCAATGTGACGCGAATTTTCAGTGAAAATTCGCGTCGCGTTGCCAAATAGCGTCCGGTCTGTATGGGCCTTAAGGCACTAATAAGATGAAAGTATCACGAAATTATTTGAATAAACCACATCGCATATATGGGGGGCGAATATCCTAAAGGGAGGGGGGCGATATTCCTGGGGCATTCGCCCTTTTAGGGGGGGGGGGCGATATTCCTAAGATATTCGTCATCCAGGGGCGGTATTCCTAGGAATATCGCCCCCTTCTGAGAGGGGGGGCGAATCTCCTGGGGGGGGGACAGAAGTCCTGTGACAACGGCATGGGCAAATAGCAGTACCTTTTTAAAAATTCTATCTTGCCCCCTCAAATATGAGTTTGTCCCTCAAATGCCCCCCCCCCCCAATTCTGAGGCCTGGCGCCGCCACTGTTGTTTACATCTCATTCAGCAACATAGCCCGTAATATTGATGACTTTTACACATATTCAGAGCCTGGTTAACCTGTGATTCAGTTCTTAATGAACAACCAAACAAAACAAAACAAAACCGCTTCAGCGTTCGGTTTATTTAAATCGTTTTATGAGCAAATATATTCGTATCACAATCTTTATTTGACTATAAGACTTTATTTGACGTTTCTAGAAATCAACGATGTATAAATAACGCATGTGAGAAATGTATGTTGAACCGAAGCAAATACTCGTCTATACAAAATGTACCAAACTTAATGTGGACCAAATTGTTTTGTGATGTATTGCCTTTCCCTATTTCATGCTGTATCTCAAACGAAATTTCAAAAATCTTATTTTCTCAATACTTTAGTCCTTTAAGAGAGGATGTCCACAAAAATCAAACATAAGGCGGCCACGACGGAAAAATCGATTTTGCTCAAATTTTGCCCAGATATACCTTATTATATCGGAAAATGCACCATATATTTTTTTAGGTCAAATGCTTTTTTAACTTTGAGAAAATGCCGTTTTAACACGACCACCCTAAATCGCCATTTTGTCTGGGAAAATATGCGCTGATTTTACCGACAAATTTCACGACGACAACCGTTTCTAATCGATCTAAACCCAAAAAATCTTGTTTTCGGTTATTCAAAGGACCGGGGACGTGACTTACAGGAAATCTGAGTTACTTTTAGGAATAGAAATAATCGTAGTTTTGGAGCACATTATCTTACCTCATTTACGATACCCTCTTAACAAAACCGATTTTCACCATGGGATAAAGCTCCAAATCGATCATGCTTCTACTAGTTGGCTCTTTAATAAACAAGCTTTCAATTGACGTAAATACTTCTTTTGGCAAATGAATACGCGATAAACGACAGCGCGTTGAAATCGTCCGTTTTTGACGTCTTGCAAGTCAAACGCTGTTAATTTACATACCGTCGAAGTAAACAATTTAATCAAGTATTTTAAGTATTTTACCTTTTGAGAAGAAAATATATTCTTGAATGGAGACTTTTTGCCTTGCTAAGTTTAAAATTGGTCCAGAAATCCTGATATATTTGTGAAATATCATCATATACAGGTATTTTGAGATATAATATTGTTGTCAGTTGCATGATAACTTCAGATCAGTGTTCAATATTGTCTACTTTTAATAGCGCTAACATACAAAGGGATGAGCTGTTTAGGGATATTTGTTACTAAATTTACCAAAATAATTAGAACTACAACTGCTGTTTTCAGAGGTTTTGTTCCATTTTGTCCATATTATTAAATTAATGTACCAGTTATGTATCGACTATAATGTTTACGAAGACGTAAGTTAATTATTAAGCAGGTGTTAGCGTGCGTGTACATGAAATGAACGTTTATAATGTTTATCAATATAAGGAGTTTTTATTTTTAGTTTACCAGCCCTTGTATTTGAATAGCCGAATTCATATTAGGGACGCGAAACTCGTCTGTGAAAACCCGTCTGAATATGAATTCAGGGACGGATAAATTCAATTTAAGACGAGTTTCCCGTCTAATACGAGTTTCAAGTCTCTAATATGAATTCGGCTAATGTGTGTTAAAACTGCAAGGTCATTAAATCTCATTCCACAGACCACGATTATACGTATTGATTGCTTCTTGACGATAGTAGACGCGTACGCATGCATGTTGCGTAAGAGGTTATTTCGCTGGCCTCAGAATGACAAAACGTAACAAAGCTTTACACTAACCCTATTCCAAACACCAACTTTATAACTTAAATCCCTACCATAACCCTTGCTCGTTATTAAATAACATACCGTAGTAAATAATTTAATCACCATTTCTAAGTCTTTTACTTTTTCGGGACAAAAAACTACTTGAAAAAGACCAGGGCTTTAAAAATTATTTGAAGTAGATAGTTATGATAAGACAGGGGTGGCGCCAGGGCCGCCCTTGCAGGGGGGCGGGGGGTGCAAAGGGAGCAATTTTCTCCGCGACCCCAGCTCAAGGAGGGCCGACAAATAAAAATTTGCAAGGGGGTAAAAAGTTTGTCGACGGAGGGGTGGGAGGGGACTTATTGTGGTTCACCGGGGCCCCAAAGATATAATTGGCCCTGGGCGCCATATTTCACTGAGCTGGCCTCGGCTGCGCCAGTAATTCTACGACGGGGGAAGTCATCGGTGCTCTCTTTCGTTCTTTGGCAATTGGCATTAAAACCACAAGAACTACCGACAAGTGACCAGGGCCGGATTAACGTCGCGCGAGGATCGTGGCAGATTTTAGCGCGAGGCCCCCAACCCCCTCCCCACCCCCACTCTCAGCCTTGTTATGAAAACCTTTGAATTTAAAGACACACAAAATTGTTAAATAATTTTTTCAATATTTCAATTTATTAGCATCAATTATAAACGAGACAATGGCCTGCCTGGCCCAGTTGTTGGGTCAACATGTATAAACAGGATCATAATATAACAGCTCAACGCAACTGGAGATTATATGCACACGAGTATTGCATATCTTCCCGGGGCCGTGCTGGGGCCAACTGCCATGCCTAGGGGCCCTAAATTTGCGAGGCACCTAAAATGGGTGTGTCCCAATAGAAAATGGCCGTGTTCTCGTAAAAATGGGCGTGGCACAGTAAAGCGCAATGCCCCCATAAGCGCGAGGCCCGTAGCATTTGCCGCATCTGACACATGGTTAATCCCTATGGTTAATCCGGCGTTAAACGAGCAACAAGCTTCCATTCTTTTTAAACGCAACTTGTGGGGAGACAATAATAATTTCTGGTGTCGCACTTGGGTAACATATCTCAATGCTGTATTTTTGGGTTACTAGTACTTGTGGAATATAATAAGATCAATAAACAATAGTGTATCAAAAGAAAGTAATTTTACTGATATATTTTAACTGAGCATCAAAGTGAACACACATTAAAATAATTATTCTAAACTATTTGCTATAATTTGAGTTTGAGGTGGTAGAATATGTAATAAAATAACAAACCTTGTATGGATTAATGTTCATTTCACACGCACGCTATTAACAGCTGCTTAATAATTAACTTATGTTATTCGTAAACATTTATACTCGATAGCATAGTCGATATGTAAAATGGTACATTATATGGATCACACTGGAACAAAACAACAACTGAAGTTCTAATTTTGGGAAATTTAGTAGCAAATATAATCCCTAAACAGCTCATCGATTTGTATGTTAGCGCTATTAAAAGTAGACAATATATTGAACAGTGATCTGAAGTTTATATTATGCAACTGACAACAATATTATATCTCAAAATACCTGTATATGATGATATTTTACAAATATATCAGGATTTTTGGACCAATTTTAAACTTAGCAAGGCAAAAAGTCTCCATTCAAGAATATATGTTCTTCTCAAAAGGTAAAATACTTAGAATACTTGATTAAATTGTTTACTTCGACGGTATGTAAATTAACAGCGTTTGCTTGCAAGACGTCAAAAACGGACGATTTCAGCGCGCTGTCGTTTATCGCGTATTCATTTGCCCAAAGAAGTATTTACGTCAATTGAAAGCTTGTTTATTAAAGAGCTAACTAGCAGAAGCATGATCGATTTGGAGCTTTATCCCATAGTGAAAATCGGTTTTGTTAAGAGGGTATCGTAAATGAAGTAAGATAGTGTGCTCCAAAACTACGATTATTTCTATTCCTAAAAGTAACTCAGATTTCTTGTAAGTCACGTACCCGGTCCTTTGAATAACCGAAAACAAGATTTTTAGGGTTTTAGATCGATTATAAACGGTGGTCGTCGTGAAATTTGTCGGTAAAATCAGCGCATATTTTCCCAGACAAAATGGCAATTTAGGGTGGTCGTGTTAAAACGGCATTTTCTCAAAGTTAAAAAAGCATTTGGCCTAAAAAAATATATGGTGCATTTTCCGATATAATAAGGTATATCTGGGCAAAATTTGAGCAAAATCGATTTTTCAGTCGTGGCCGCGAAATATCTCATATGTTCGATTTTTACTGACATTCACTCTTAAGAACTAATTATAAATTTGTCACTCCACTCTCGTTCCACCAAAAATAATAATTATTCCCACATATATTGAATAATTACATTCAAAATCATTGACCAATCAGGTTGCAAAACAGACCAGCCGAAGCCAGGGCCTATTTCGCTGACCATCCAACCGCGAAAGCAAAAAGCCCTGGGTGCGAGGTTGAGTATATGATGTGTGCGCGCATGCACTTTTAATTTGTGATGTTCAAGAAACTTCTAATAATTATTTTCATTATTTTCGATTTTCCTGGTCATGTTTCCAATGGAAAAGAGCAAAATTTTGAAGAAATTTGTTTTCAGCTACTGAATGCAATAGTAGGCTGAACCAAGCCTGCCGATGGAGTTTGAACAACGGCACTTGCAGTAATAAATAAACGTTCTTTAAAGCCCTTCAGGCTAACTCGTATTCTGGTTCGCGATCTGTACGTCTGGTTAGAGAGACTCGCCCAATCAGACGGCGAACCGTTAGCGAACATCTGCCCAAAGTCAATTAGCCTTTCTCACCAAAGGCCAAATTCGCCATTTTGGGGTACGTTTTTGAAAACGTCGTGAAAAATCTAAGCGATGTGAAAACATTTTTTTAAATATTTAACTGAAAATTAATTTACAGTGATTATACTCACAATTATATAGTTAAACAAATACTTTATTCATTGCGTACAATCTCGGATTTGGAAAAGGCTGTACCCAAAAAATGGCGGCATGAGAAAGGCTAATTGGTTACCTCCATTATGACTAAGATCATTTCCGAACGCCTACCCCGGCTGCGAATCAAAGTCGATTCCAGTGATAAACCTTGGATCACCTCCGATATAAAAACTCTAATTTCTAACGGCAGGCAGCATGGTTTGTTGGCAACGACCTGTTGTTTAGATTCTACCGAAAAAAATTCAACACTCTTTGTATAAAAGCGCGGTCAAAATATTATAGCATATATATTAGCAAAATTATAACACGTATATAGCAAAATATTTAGAGATTTAAATAGACAATCTAAAAAATAGACAATCCTAAAATCCAGAGGAGGAATGAGGGTCTTCCCGAAAAGCAACGCGCGAATTAGTACGGCTCATTATTATTCAAGATATTTATTCTCAACGCGCCGTTCGATTAAAAACTGTTGAAGTATATTGCGATTTTTGCTGTGAAGATCTCGTTTTCTCAAAGGTATGTTTTGATAACTTTTTTGTTTAGTAATTTTATAAAAGAAGTTTTGAATAATGTTGTATATATATCGCATTTTACTTATGTTATATTCCCATTGTATTTATGCATGTTTTGGGTCAATGAACATGACCTTCAAAGTGGCATTGAAATATTTACAAGTAAATTGCACTTTTTTACAAGGAAACTAAAATAAAATCACATGAGTGAATCCAGGAATGTTAACTCTTTAAAATTATACTTTAAAACATGAATTTACTCCATAAAACCAAAGAGATATCGCGATTTGAAAATGAGATATTTTTGCTATTTATATAGAATATAGAATTATAGAATATAGCAAGAATAGCTAATTTAATAACTCTTCAGTTTTATAACTTTTATGGACGTAAATTAATGTTTTAAAGTATCATTATAAAGAGTAAACATTCCTGAATTCACTCATGCGATTTTATTTTAGTTTCCTTGTAAACAAGTGCAATTCACTCGTGAATATTTCAATGCCACTTTGAAGGTCATGTTCATTGACCCACAACATGCATAAATACAATGAGAATTTAACAAAAGTAAAATGCGATATATATACAAAATTATTCAAAACTTCCTTTATTAAATTACTAAACAAAAAAGTTATCAAAACATACCTTTGAGAAAACGTGATCTTCCCAGCAAAAATCGCAATATATTTCAACAGTTTTTAATCGAACGGCGCGTTGAGAATAAGTATCTTGAATAGTAATGAGCCGCACTGATTTGCGCGTTGCATTTTGGGAAGACCCTCATTCCTCCTCTGCCTAAAATCTATATTCGTCATAACCACATATTCATAACATTTGTCTTTATAACATATTTATAATATTTACATTTGTATTTTTAGACCATTTTGACAAAGGTTTAAGAGACCTTAAAGAAAATAATCTAAACCTTGCTGAACAATCACTCAGTCAAACTTTAAAGATTTTATCCGCATCGCCAAATTCCTCAAACTTCAACGGAGAGATAGCGACATGTTTTCATATCATGGCCGAGATATATTTAACCCGAGCCTCTCAACTGATGAACGACGATGGTTTTTGCGAAATGATGGCTAAATGCATCGCTCTGTTCGAGGCTGAGCGAATCTACAAGTACGGCAGTTACAAAGAAGACAAAGAAATCAACACGGCTATCGTAGAAGCAGAGGTAAAGTTTGTCGATAGAGTATTCGGGCAAGACGGCGTTGAACGCTTTAAGGAAATGAGCGATAGAAGAATAATGAATCGCAAAAAATTGGAAGAAATTCGTTCAAAAGTCACTGACGAATACTTTTCCACGCTTGCCAAATTTCCAGACTGGAACACAGAAGACGAAGAAAAAAGATGCCACGAAATAGAAAGTATATATAAACATATTTACCATGACATGAACGGCTTCCTGGTTGACATTTTGTTTCATTGTAGTCACATTGTAGGTCCCGCACCCTGCAACTTCTCGATCATTGGTCTAGGATCTACATCTAGAAAAGAAGTCACTCCCTACTCTGATTTAGAGTTTTCAATTCTAGTTGATGACAACAACAAAGATCCTTCACCAGAACAACGGCAGTATTTCCGATTCCTGACTTATTTTATTCAAATGCAAATTATCAAATTAGGTGAAACAATTTTGCCAAGTGTTGGCATTCCTAGTTTAAATGATTTCTACAGTAAAAATAAAGAAGATGATTGGTTTTACGACGATGTCATTCCAAAGGGATTTTCGTTCGACGGTATGATGCCATGGGCGTGCAAGACACCTCTTGGAAGAAAAGAATGGCGCGGACAACCTCCACAAGAGTACATCATGACTGTTGAAGAAATGTTGAAGCTTCAAGACGTCATTCCTGGCTCTTGTATGGAGAGTCTGAAAACTGCAAATGTTTTTAGGAGCGTGTGTCACCTTTTTGGCGACGAAAAACTTACGATGACATACCAACAGAAATTGTCAGCCCGCCTAACTCATATTGGCAGCATGAGAAGTTTCCGAGAACAAGTATTGCAGATCATGCAAAGTTTGTTGGAGACCTATGGCGACGAAGGAATGGCTACACAACATTTTGGAACACAGCAAGACGTGAAAAAAGAGGTCTATAGATTGACAAGTCTTCTGGTTGAACAATTATCAAAATTCTTTTTAATTTTCGGGCAAAGTTCGTGGCAATGTGTACATGAAATGAAGATGAAGAAGATACTCGCTGAAGATGGAGCTAAAAATCTACTTGCAGCATTGAGTATCACAACTGAACTTCGATTAAAGTGTTATCAGAAACAAGGTAAGCAAAAGGAGGCATTGCCTACAGTTCCACAACTGTCAGTAACAGAAGACAAGGATATTCCATGCCCCCTCTCAACAGCTATCGTTCGTCTTTATCAAAGTCTTATACCTTTGAAATCTGTCGTATTTCAAATCCTAGAAGTTTACAAAAACCATGACCTGAATGAACCAGATACGTTGGTTCCTGCAGTGCTTCAGCAAGCGAATTTTATGGATGTTTTGCCAATGACAACAGCGGCAGCGTATCTACGTGTCTTACAGCTTCCTAAAGCGTTCGATTGCTTACTTTCCGCCAAAGGTGGCATAACGGATAATGCCAGTAGGGTGAAAATAATTCTCATGCTCGCCAATTGTTACCAAATGGTTGGCAAGTTTCACGAAGCTATCGAGTGTTGCCGTGAGGTGGAAACATTGTACACAGGGGCACCGGATGTTGTTGAAGCAAGTAGTTTATTAGATGCGTTGAAGATGATCATGGATATCTATATGGATCAGGGCCTCTTCCAAGAAGCTCTTCAAATGTACAAACAAATCGTGGATTTTCAAGAGAGGCAGGATTTGAACGGGGGGTTCGTTAAGAATGAGTTGGATTTTCTTAACAGCAGCGCTGTTCTTTTCATGAATATGAAGCAGTACAATAAAGCTGAAGCCATACTTAGAAGTATCATTGAAATGTTACGGAACCAACGGAAGCATTATTTCAGTTACTTTATGTGCTTAAACAACCTTGCTGTCATTTTACTTAACGCGGACAAGCTTACAGAAGCAAAAACTATCTTGAACGATGCTTTAGAGATCGCCAGTGAACTTTATGGGGAAAACGCTGTCCATCCCTATTTTGCTCGCTGTTTGGCAAACCTTGGCGAAGTTCATTACTATCTTCAGAATATTGAAGAAGCAGACCGTTTGCTGCAATTGGCGCTGATAATTTATTCTCATGTCCATGACCACGAGTTGATCGAGCCGGGTATTATCGAGGCACTAATTATCAAAGCGCAAATATCCTGGGTTCATGAGCAGTGGAACGAGATGTTCAATTCTTTGAACAAAGCGAACGAACTTTCTAAGATTCTGTAGAAAGGCTGCCCACACTCAACTGCCGCGTCTGTACTTTTTTATCTTGGCATTTGTGAGCAAGAACGTGGAAATTTCTCGGAAGCCTTAAGCCATTACCAAGACTATTTGAAAATCCACGAAAATGTAAGAATGGAATGTCAACAAAGTGGCAACAATTGCAACACTGCCAATGTTCTTATACGTATTGCAAACCTGGGAGAACATGGTTCTTATGATGTTTCGTATCGTCTGTCATGCATCGAAAAAGCGCTGGAGATAGAAGAAAAACGCCACCGCAAGGAATCTAATCACCGCCATTTGGACAGATGTTTTGAGAGTCTCTGGTATTTCTTGGTAACGGAAAACAGTGAATCAAAATGGTTGGAATATCTCGACAAAGCCATGCAAATGCTCGAAGAGATTAACTTGGATAGCGATAAATTATATGGCCATGCGCACCTAACAATTGGAAAACGTTTAGCAGAACAGTCCCCCAATGAAGCTGAAAGACACTTGAGAACTGCAGAAGCTGTTTTAAAGAAGACCTTGAAGGATAGTAGTCACGTCGTGCTACTTCAGATCAATTCTTCACTGCTAAAGATTTTCCTACAGACAAACAGAATCCAGGATGGCATCGAACTTGCCAAACAACAGCGACGCCTGATTGATACAATGTTGTCTAAATCCAGTGTTCCTAACGCTGAACAACTCTGCCAAGTTGTGTATCTTGGCCAGTTTTATGAAGCCAGTGGACGACGAAACACTGCAAAGGAAATGTATATTGACGTAATCGCGCGCCTGGAGGAACAGGTCGATCCGACTGATTCAGAAAATGATTATTCAATGCTCCTGCTGTGGAAGATACAACAACGAGTAGGAGACATTTACCTAACTGATGGAATGTTCTGTGATGCAGAAGCCATGTTACAGCGCATTGCCTCTTCAGTTAAAAAGACAACTTCACAGCGACAACTTGCGGTAACAGCTCATCATGACATTCTATGGAATCTTGCAGCGATTTTTACGGAAACTGGAAGACACGAACAAGCTTATGAACTGCTTGACAGTCTTATCAACATGTACGAGAAAGACCGCAAATCCATTCATGCCCATACAGCTTCGTGTGCTTTTCTCGTACGTGGTGAACTCAATCGTCGACGCTTTCGTTTCAACATTGCATTGCAAGACCTTAAAAAAGCTTTGAAAATAGGCGAAACGTTTCGAGGAATGGCGATTCATTATGCTTTCAATACACAAGACAGTGAAATTAATTATGCTAAAATTATGAACACTATTGGATTAATTTATGAGCAAAGCAACAACCTGGAACTTGCTCGCGAATACTATCTTTGCTGCATAAATACTGTGGCAGCAATACCTCCGACCATGGAAGCAGGAACCTTTCACCAAAATTTGGCGGACACACTGAAAAAGTTAGGACGACTGCACGACGCCATGGTGCATTACAAGAAATCATTAGAAATTAGAGAAATGCTGCATTCAGATGATCCGGTAAGAGAAGATATTGCCACCGTGCTTTACCATATTGCTATCGTCCAGTATACTCATGAAAGACCCAAGGACGCTTCTGAAACTTTGGAAAAGCTCATACTCTTAAGACGAGAACTTCTTAAAAAAGGTGGTTCTTTGCAGAATTACTGTGCCGTGTTTGTTCTTAAAGGTAATTGCCATATATTTGAACCAGGCGAAGCTCAACAAGCAAAAGACGCCTACGAAGAAGCAGAGAAAGCTTTCAAAATAATGACGGAGGGGCAGCCAAACCTGGATTATGCTGGCGCATTAAGCAGTTTGGGTGAGTCGAATATACATGATTTTTATAAATTTGGTAAACTCCTTTATAATACTGTACTTTTAAAATTTGTGTTTAATTACAAATTATGCTGTGTAATTTGTAGCGCGAACTAAGTCCGTTTCACGCCTAAAATATGTGGTCATGTTTTTGCATGTTCACGTATCAGATATATTTAATAATTAAGATGACCTTTATGGTACCATATATACCTAATACGGTTGGGTGCACTAAAAATGATTTAATTATACCTTTCTTGATTCTTTCTGTGTAGGATATGCTTGTTTAATCTTAAATCAGTGGGAACAAGCATTCCCGAAACTGGAACAAGCACTTGAAATGAAGAGAGTTATTTATGAAGAAAAAGATAAACCAGAGGCTGATGTGGCCTTAGCCTGCCGCTTTCTCGCTAGAGCGCTGTTTAAACATCAAGAATATCAGAAAGCACTGCCTTACTTCCAAGAAGCGTTGGAATATTTTGAAGTTAACCAGTCAGCAGATGATGAAACGCAATGTGTTCTTCACATTGCGCTATGTTACGGAGGTTTGAAGAATCTCGTTAGTGCACTGGAAACGTTCAGAAAAGTCGAAGAGTTGTGTGTCAGAAAGTCAGTTAGCGACAGCATACGGTTGGGTATTCACAAAACAATGGCAGACACCTTCACTGAGGAAGAATACGGAGATAGGTCTAAGGTATTGTATCACCTTAAAGAAGTCGAAGCTATCTTTAAGCGAATAAAACGATCAGAAACGCAGGAAGAGGAACTAATTGAAGTACAAGCAAAGATCTTGAGCCTGGAATTTTAACGAACCACTATACTATACGTGCCTATATAGACTTTATTTTGGCAACGAAATCAGCTTGGCGATTATGTAGAAATAATTAAGACGGACACAACTGTCAATAGCCGTGTTAGGTTTTGTCTTACCTTGAAGTATATAATCGCGATAATAACATTAATTTCAAGTGGCTATAGGCCAGTCGATTTGAAAATTACAGACTTGGACGTAACTGTTGAGATATTAGTGCAAAAATTGTAAATTTACTGTACATTTATGCAATTTTTCTTCATCTCCCCCCCCCCCCTTTTCCCAAACTCAATGTTTGAACAATCCCGAAGTAACGTTTTGTAATTTATCATGCATGACCCAAGCTCGATATTGAATTGGGGGTTTAAACAGAACACCAACAGGATTTTACAGAGAAGTCATCATAAGGATACCATCATTCCATCAACTGGCCAGTCGGCCGATGAAAAATAAATTGAAATCCTTGCGGTGTGCGGTATCATTCTCAGCATGTCTGACGATTTGTGGTTTCTCGATCTTTATCGGCCGGTTGGCTCCTACCTCAACTAACCATGCAGAATTCCTGCCGTGATTACGTGGTTTATAATTTTCGCTGAATTTCGCATTATTTTCGCTTTGCTCAATTCATTACCTAACATCGTAGACCCGGTTTAACCGGCGAACGTTTCGTGCGCGAAACCTAATACAGCGGATAACGGTAGCTACGACCGAAGAGCCGCGTCTAAATCAATTAAATTCGGCAAGTTTTGGTTAGGTTCGACACGGCACAAAATACGGCAAGTTTTTAGCGCTGTGCTTTTCATTCGCCGAACCCAGAGCGCCAAACGTGGTAATGCATTATTTTTTTAACCTATATACATTATCATATGATTATGATATATTAGCACTAAAATTTCTGATATTGTGCACTTGTATTTTGGTACTGTTCAATTAAGATCGACGTCTAAATCAATTACCGAACTTGTTACGTGTTTAATTTGATTAGGTTCGGGCCTAGGGGCCTTAACGTACGTGTGTGTGGCGTATGCCGATTTGCATCTCCAGGTAAAGCGACTTATATCGGGCGACTGAAACCGCCAAGTGTGCGCCAGGCTTTTGACTGTTAAGTTCCCAATTCAAAAGTATTGAGCTTATGAGATAGCTATTTGTGAATACTATAATGTGATTGCATGAGTGCACTTATAATCTGTTATATCGCATGAGTAAGTAAATTATATGATTATATTTCTTTCAATAATAAAAATGTCTATAGCTATAGTCTAGGTCATGCCAGCTTTCGAGTCAAATGCGGGTTTTAAAAACCTTTTTAAAAACCTATATTTGAGCTGCAGTCTTTAGATAGATAGATAGATAGATAGATAGATAGATAGATAGATAGATAGATAGATAGATAGATAGATAGATAGATAGATAGATAGTGTATTTAAAATTCAGATAGATAGATAGATAGATAGATAGATAGATAGATAGATAGATAGATAGATAGATAGATAGATAGATAGATAGATAGATAGATAGATAGATAGATAGTGTATTTAAAATTCACCTTGCAACTGGACAGCTGAATTGCGTGATTTACAAGAGTATATAAAACATTATTTAAAAGATAGAATATGGGTTAATTAGGCATATTTACAAATGGTCATTAAAACGCTTAGTACTAAAAATTACATTAACTTAAGTTACTAGACATAGGAATAAAAGTTTTTTTAAATCTTTCTGTATTAGTTTCGAATCGTTCAAACAGTCTATTGTTCCTAAGTTGGTAAACCGACTCATGTTTGGGAAACAGTAAATTATGCAGTTTGTGTGTCGGATTGTTAGTAATATTTGTAAAAAGTTTGTTACACATTTCTTCGCGTCTTTGGAACAAAGTTTGAAGATTGAAATATTCTAAAGTTTCGCTATATGAGTTCGCGGGTAAAATGATCTTCAGTGCTCGCTTTTGTACCGTCTCAAGATCTTCTGACAGGAAGGATGGGATTGAGTAATGGAAAACCGGGGCACAATATTCCAAAATGGGCCTGATAACTGTACAGTAGAAGTTTACAATGTCTTTCGAACTGACTTTTGCGCGCTTAAGTAAGATAATGAAGTAAAGACGTTTGTTAGCTTTTTTGATGACTTCGTTAATGTGGTTAGTCCATTTAAGGTTACTAGAGATGGTGAGGCCTAGAATTTTAGCGTTTTGGACAACCGGCAATTTCTTCCCGTAGGCTGTAAGAGGGTCGAAGTTCTGTTTCGTGGATTTAAAGTCGATTTGGAGTTCTTTACATTCATGGGCGTACCGGAAGGAAAAAATTAGGGGGGCGGAAAGAAAACTGCCCGACTTTTCGGGATTCTGCCCGACTAGTACCAAATTTTTTGCGGAAAAATTATTTTGGCAACCTCCCCCCCCGTCGCCAAAAAAATTTCGGTCAGTGTACCATTTTAGGGGTCAAAAAAATTTTCCGGACAACCAATATTTTTCGGAACATAACACAAACTTTCGAAAAATCACAAAATTTGCCAAAAAATTGACTTAATTTTAGACAAAATTGACAGAATTTGTCCCATTTTTTTTTATTGCAAACCAAAATTGCCCGACTGTTGATCGAATATTGCCCGACTACCCAAAAAACTGGGGGGGGCTACCGCCCCCCCCGCCCCCCCGCCCGGTACGCCTATGTTTACATTTATCTGCATTAAGAAGTAATCTGTTGGAATTCGACCAGTTTTCTACTGTGGTAACTGCGTCTTGGGCTTTGCTGGTATCGCCTTTTTTAACAACCTCTGAAACGGTTGTATCATCGACATACTTCCAAGTAGATACTTCAGTGATTTTAAGATCATTGATCATCCATAGAAAAAGCCATGGCCCAAGTTTCGTGCCTTGAGGGACACCAGCCGGGACAGCACCCCACTCTGAAACGCAGTCGGTTGCGAGTTTAACTCTTTGTTTTCTGTCCAATAGAAAATCAATAGTCCAGCGTACGACTGCCTTCGGAATTGGTAATCTGGAGATCTTATCAGCGAGTATACAATGGTCAATAAGGTCACAAGCTTTTTTATAGTCAAACAGGACTACTCTGACTGCTGCGCCAGTGCCATCAGTTGATTGGGACCAATTGTGGATCATTGATATCGCTGCCATAGATGTAGAGGATTTTGGTATCACTCCAAATTGGTTGGGGTCGATTTGACACAGAATAGCTAGCCCAATGTATTTAGAAACAACGAATTCTTCTGCTACTTTAGAAAGGGCTGGGGTGAGGGATATTGGTCTTAAATGTTTACAAATTTCGGTTACCGGTTTCGTTTTTATGATTGGAACAACATCAGCTGCTTTCCACGAGGCAGGGAGTCGTTGTTCATTAAAACTGCTATTGAGAATCGAACTGACAGGCTGGGCGAGGACTTCTGCATATTCGCTTAACACCCAATTCGGAACACCGTCTGGGCCTGAGGCTTTTCTGGGGTTAAGGGACGCAAGCCCTTTATACACATCAAATTCGTCGAGATGAAGGGCAGAGTCATTTGGATCGTCGGAGGGAAGAGAAGTAAGAGGTTGGTAAGTTTTCATGGGATCTAGGAAGGCTTGTTTATGAGATTTGCAATCTCATTTGGAGACTTCCAGTCAATATCGTCAATGTGAATTTGGTTATATAGATCTTCCGCTCCCGTTGAAGGGGTCATACCAGCAATCTGTTTTACTTCTTTCCACCAACGACTTAGTTTTGACTTTTTTAGATGTTCAACCTTCAACGAATAAAACTTTTCACGGCATTTTTTTCTTTCGCGATTAACTCGGTTGCGGTAATACCTAAACAGTTCGTTATTGCCGTTAGAAAATGCTGCTTGGCGTATTTTTATAAGAATCTTAAAATTAGCTGTGATCCAAGGGGGATCATTCACATGTAGTGTTATTCTTCTTTTGGGCATTAGGATATTGATACCCAGGTTAATAAGATCAGTGAAAAGCTCAAGTTTTTCTTCACAGGTTTCGAGATGATTTAGGATGGACCAATTACAGGAGGTTAGGTATCTTCCGAGTTCGCTCTTTTTACTGGGACGCATGTCTCTACTTATGACGACCTTTCGACTACCTGATTTATCGCATCTGTTTTTAGGGTTTAGAATGACCACATTGTGATCTGAGAGGCCAAAGGGAGGATGTTTCTCTACAGAGTCTTTAGCGTAAAACGAGTATAAGGTGGTAATAATTAGATCAAGAGTCTTGTCAGCTCTGGTAGAAACATTGACCATTTGTTTGCATTGAAACTGGTTCAGTAGACGGTTAACTTTTAATTGGTCGAAGTCTCCTGATAACATTAGACCACAGCCTGGATAATCGCTTTCAATGGTGGTAAGTGATATTGAAAGGTAACTGAGCATTTCATGATCATCGGCGCGTGGTGCGTGGTATATTACGCCAATTACAAGACAAGTAAATCCACGGGGTAATCGTTTGGAGTAAGACGTACCCAGAGAACCTCTAACAAGGGATGCTGTAGATGGTCTAAACATTCAAAGGATATTGAGTTCTTAATATATAAACCCACACCTCCATGACAGCCCACTGAACGGTTTTTGAAGATGAAATTATATCCATCTATATAAAGACACGATTCGTCAATTGATCCATGGAGCCAAGTTTCGGTGATACAAGCAGCGTCTGGATTGTGAATTTTCATAAAACAAGAGACTTCGTCAATTTTAGGGGTGAGTGACATGGTGTTTGTGAGTAAAATTTTGGGCACGAACGTCTTTTTGTTCTCATTTTGGGTTTTAAATGAGACAGAAATTAAATTACCGTGTGTTCTTGAGGGTATTTTATAAGATTTGTTAAAACTTCTGTTTGTGATTCTAACCGTTATGTTTTGTAGGTTTTCCTGATAAGGGGGAGATGTCATGAGTTTATGATCGTGGATGTTCAGTATGTCAGCGGGGGCCAAGTAAGAGCATTCATCAGTAAGAGCATTCATCATTACGACTGTATAGTAATAAATACGCCAAAA